AAGCACCCTTTTATCCCAGAAATAAATCCCAGTTGATTGTAGTGAATTTTTTTAAATGTATTGTTGGATTCGGTTTCCTAATATTTTGCTGAGTATTTTTACATCCGTGTTCATCAGGGAATAAATTTCAAAGTTCTCCTCTCGCTTCTATTTTTTTGGAATAGTTTAAGAAAAAGAGGTATTTGTTCCTATTTAACTGTTTGGTAGAACTCACCTGTGAAGCCATTTGATCATAGACTTTTGTTTATTGGGAATTTTTTTTATTACTTTTTTAGTTTCATTGCTATTAATCAGTCCGTTCAAATTTTCTGTCTCTTCCTGGTTCAGTTTCAGGGGCATCCTGGTGGCTCAGTCAGTTAAGTGTCTGCCTTCGCCTCAGGTCATGATCCTGGGGTCCTGGAATCAAGTCCCACATTGGGCTCCCTGCTCAGTGGGGAGCCTGCTTCTCCCTTTCCCTGCTGCTTGTGCTCTCTCTCTCTCTCTCTCAAATAAATAAAAACTTAAAAAAAAAAAAAGGAAAGTTACATGTTTCTAAGAATTTATGCATTTCTTCTAGGTTGTCTAATATGTTGGCATTTAATTCTTCAGTATTCTCTTAATAATCCTTTGTATTTTTTTTGGTATCAGTTGTTATTTCTTCTCCTTCATTTGTGATTTTTTTGCTTTTTTTTTTTGATGAGTCTGGCTTCATCCTGGTTTATCAATTTTATCTTTTCAAAGAACTAGCTTCTGGTTTCATTGATCTCTTTTTTTTTTTGTCTCATTTATTTCTGCTCTAATCTATATAATTTCTTTTGTACTACTGGCTTTGAGTTTTGTTCTTTTTCTATTTCCTTTAGGTTATTAGGAATTTTTCCTGTTTCTCGAAGTAGGCCTGTATTGCTATAAACTTCCTTCTTTAGAACAGCTTTGCTTCATCCCAAAGTTTTCAGAGCATTTCCTCATTATTTTGTACAGCTGTATAGTACAGCATTGCCTGAATATGCCATACTACTCTCCAGTAATACAGGCTACTTTAAATCATTTATAATTACCTACAAATGGTGCTTCAGTGAATAAGCTCATACAGCATATTTTCATGATTCTTGTTCTTACATATCTCACTATTATTGGAAATACATCTTCAGAATAGAGTACTAGAAGTGGGGTTGCTGGGTGGTAAGAGTGCATCACTTTGCTGGGTTCTACCAATTTTTTTTCTCCAGAAGATTGCACAAATTTGTATTCCCACCAGCAATGCATACCTGCTTCCCCATGGCCTCAGTAATAGAATATGTTGTCATATTGGCACTAAAATTTAGCATAATAACCAACAGGATGTTTCAGAGATTCTAAGCTTTCTCTAAATTTAGTTATTTTGATCTCTTTTTACCATTAGCATACCAAAACAAATGGGCATATTAGAAGTTCCTTGCATTTTTTAAATTTATCTAACATATATAATGAAGTGGGTGTTTTGTTTTGTTTCTTTAGGTCTTGCTCCTTTGGTCTATTTGTCAGATGAATGCCATAATTTATTGGCAATAAAGTTTTGGATCGATCTTAATGAGGACATTATTAAACCTCACACCTTAATTGCTGCAAGCAACCTCCAGTGGCGACCAGAAGCCAAATCAGGAATTCCTACTTTATTTGCTGGAGATTTTTCCAGGTTTTCTGCCAGTCCAAAGGAGGGCCATTTTCAAGAGATATTCCACAAAATGAAAAATACCATTGAGGTAAAATTACTTTGTGCATTACCACGCATTTTAGTATTTTCATATTTTGATGGTCAAATATTAAGGAAATGGTGGCTTCTATGAAAATTGGATAGTTGAGATATGATGTAATGAGGTTTCATCCTGCGTAAATTGCTCACGAACCTGAGGAGATGGGAGGACAACAGCTGGGAGAAGATGATTTGGAGGGGACTGGGTGAGGGGAAATTGTGAGGAGGACATTCAGAGCTACATGGTTCAGAGCAGTTGGTAGTAGTTAGTTAATAACATGCAGATTACAAATTTACATTTTAAATTCCATATCTAGTATTTTATAGTTTGTATCTGTCTTTGATTTGAAATACTCCCAAATAGGAGAACACTGAAATTATTTTCCCTGGATAATGTATGCATTTTATGCTTAAATTTATATAGACCTCAAGTAATAATAATATTAGCTAAAGTTTGAGTGCGTATTGTGTGTCAGGCCTTGTTCCAAGCCTGTCGCATTTACTTCTGTTAACAACCCTATGAGGTATGGAGCTTTTTTCTATTTTATTGATGAAAAACAGGTTAAGTCACACAGCCAAGTTGTTAGAAGCAGGATTCATACTTCAGCCATCTGAATTGTAGCCCAAACTATTAACTACTTTGCAGTGCTGCCTTCCAATAAAATTTTGGATTTTATAAATTGCTAACTGGTAAAGAATCTTCAAGATAAGCCTCTTTAATATTTGAAATGTGTTACTCAAAATATATGTAAATAAAATTATGTTTTAAAAAACATTAGAGTAAACGTGGAGATTCACAGACCTGTACCCCTGGGGGGAAAAAAAAAAAAATATATATATATATATATATATATGTTTATAAAAAATAAAATTTAAAAAAAAAAATTAGAGTAGCTAGCTATGTGAAGGAAGTTGGTGTAATATTTTACCTAAAGACTCAATACACATAGTGAAGAAAAACACCCTGATTTATCTGGTTTCTAAATTGGAAGGTGGAGTAGGGGGTTGTCATTATTTGGCTCCCATACAGAGTACAACCAGATTTTCTGAGACTGTTCAAGGGCAGTTCAGAGACAACTGACTGTCATTGACATAGCATTTTTAAGTTTTATAAAATAATCTCATGAACTAGGTTAAATCCTATAAAATTGCTGGTATTTGACCAATTGTAAAAACAACAGTTTTAGGTGGTTTAACCTACATATTGTTTCAGTTAATTACTAAAACAGACATGAGGTGATTCTCTCATTTTACTACTAACCTAAGGCGTACTCTTCAGATGTTAGATGATTTACAGCTATCGGGTAAGAAATAGAACTGGACCTTGAGACCATCTTCTAGCTCCAAATCCAGTATCATGTGAAACCTTGCTTATTAAACTGGATGACTGGAAAGACCTCTCCTATCTCTTTCCTTCCCTGACATACAGACTCCCTCTCTCTCTACACCAACCATGTTGGCTTTGCATTTTTACAGTGGCAGATTGTTTGACAATTGCGGTCAAATTTGGGGTGTGTCATTCTTTTTCTTCTCATCTGAACCTTTTATTTCTGGTTTTAAAAGTAACATTTTCTGAAAACATGAATATGTACATTTTCATTTTACAAAACAGTTCTTTTCCCATTTATTTTCTTAGAATATTGGTATGTTTTGCAATGATGCAGAAAACAAACTTAGGCATATACTTGATGCAAACGCTCCCATGTTGTCCACCCCGACTAAAGACTATGCTTCAGAGCCATACACTGCTCAAACAATCCTTGGCATGGGAAATAAATTTCTGGTAAGTTAATGCAGATTTAAGGAATTATGTAAGTATTACAAATGAAGGCAATAATATGTTTTGGTGTATACCTAGTAAACATGGTAAAATGTAATTAAACTTACCTAGAAAGTATAGTCAGTTGTTACCTGACTCCTGTAAATCTAGGTTATCTAGAAATTCTATCTTATCAAAGCCAGAATGTAACATTCTTTGGGGCCAAATTTTACAAACAGGTGCTTTCATGTTTTGTTTTGCAAGTACATGTGATGGAAAATACTTTCCTTGTGTCCTTTTGCTCGAAGCACTGTTCTATACAGTTAGGGTTGTTTCTAAACTCAGTTTGATTTAACTCTTTAAATCACAGTACATGCATATCAAGCTGTAAGGTCTGAATACTGCCTGATGAGTAAGTAGCTAACAGTTGCTAAGTGTATCTATATTAACTCACTTAATCTTCACAGCAATCCATGGGATGGAAATTATCTCCATTTTACAAATGAGGAAACTATGGCCTAGAGAGGTTGAACAATTGCCTAAAGTCACAAAACTAGAATAGTATACCTACCGGAACCCAGTCAGTCTGTGCTCTTAAAATGGTTTAAGAATGCTTATCTTTATTTAAATTGTTAATCAATTGTTAATAAAGAGGGACATCTGGGTGGTTTAGTCATTAAGCAACTGCCTTCAGCTCAGGAGTCCTGGGATCAAGCCCCATAACCAGGCTCCCTGCTCAGCGGGGAGCCTGCTTCTCCCTCTCCAGCTCTCCCTGCCTATGTTCCTTCTCGCGCTATGTTTCTGTCAAATAAATAAATAAAATCTTAAATAAGTAAGTAAATAAACTGTTCATAAAAAAGAAAAGATTAGTGCATATGTCCCCCTACCTCCTTTTTTGTCTTTTGGTACGATTAGTCTTCATTCTGCTTTCTTTTCGTGTCATTTTTATATCCTTTTATGCAAAACTGTTTCCTTCTGGAATGAGCACAACCATATAAATGTATCTCGGAATCATCTGACCTGTGAGTCATGAGGGGAGTGACAAAGGTTGTGGTATTTGTGTGCTTAAGTATTTCTAGTGAGGGGTGTATGAGTGGCTCAGTCAGTTAAGTGTCAGGTCAGGATCTCAGAGTTGGGATTGAGCACTGCATCAGGCTTCACACTTAGTGGGGAGTCTGCTTGAGACTCTCTCTCCCTTTGTGTCTGGCCCTGCCCCTCTCTCTCTCTCTCTCTCAAATAAATAAATGAATCTTAAAAAAAAATTCTAATGAAAAGCTAATTTGATGATGTTTTATATATTAGTGCATAATTATCTAGGCTGCTTTTTGTCTTTTTATTAGATGTCTTCTCCCAGTGGTGAGATGAATTACCAGAGTCCTTTATCACTTTCTAAGCCAAAAGAGAAGTCTGTTCCCACACCTGGATCAGCCCAAATGACTTCAAAGTCTTATCATAAAGGGGAGAAAGAGATGGATGACCCAAAAAATTGCAAGAAGAGAAAAGCCTTAGATTTTTTGAGTAGAGTGCCTTTACCTCCACCTGTCAGTCCCATCTGTACATTTGTTTCTCCAGCTGCACAGAAGGCATTTCAGCCACCACGGGCTTGTGGCACCAAATATGAAACACCTATAAGGAAGAAAGAGTTGAATTCTCCTCAGATGACTCCACTCAAATTTAATGACCTTTCCCTTTTGGAAAGTGATTCAATAGCAGATGAAGAACTCGCACTGATCAACACTCAAGCCCTTTTGTCGGGTTCGGCAGGAGAAAATCAACTTATATCTCTCAGTGACTCCACTAGGACTGCTCCTGAGAACTTAAAAGATTATGTCAGGCCAAAAAGGCATTCTCTGGCATCTGGGGCAACAGGATGCTGGAGCCCCCAAGCCCACACCGAAGAGCGGGAGACCAATGTGCAAGACGCAAGTCCTGTGAAAAGGGCATCTATGAGACTGCAAAAGCGACAAAAACAAAAATGACAATAAATCGGTTACTGAGTCAGCCTTTCCAACTTGTAGAAAATATGGCTTCAACATCTCAGGATTTGCATAATGAGAAGAAAAAGGACACCTGTGCTTGTCTATCTCAGGAATGCCCCTGGCCTGTCTCTGTAATGATATACTCCAATTTCAGTTATATGTCTGAAAATTGTGTATTTATTAACTAATCAAGAAAAAAATATGACAGGATTTGATCACTGGATTTGATCAGGTGTATTTTACAAAGTAAACATAACTTTTTCTTTAAATTGTGTCCCTAATTAAATGAAACTAAGGTTTCTAAGTTATTTTGACTCCTGTAATTCCTTTTAGTTTAGTTCCTATTTTAGGTAGTTTTATTTTGTTTTTCAGAGGTAACACACTACAAACCACTTTTCCTTAACAAATGTTGGTTCTCTTATAGTTCTATCCTGATCAAAAGTCAGGAGTAAGAAACAACAGTGGTGTTTTCTTTAGACCAATTCTTCAACCTTAAGTCAACATAACTGCAAGAAAAACGGAATCTTCAACGTCATTCCTTTTTATGAGTCCAGTGTGATCACTGAATTATTTTAATTAAAAATTCAAATGCTTTAAATCAGATTTCATAGTCTTCATGTTTTTTTTTAACAAAATGATCATCTGCAACTTAAGAGAAAATCTTTCAAATTGGCAACACTTCTACCTGCTTTATTTTTAGCCCTGTCATAGGACTCGGCAAGTACTTCCTTCATACCTGGTTTTCTCTAACCACCAAGGCAGACAGTAATGGGTCAATATAAGAGGACATTCTCATCTGTTACCTTCCTATGCTTAATAGAGAAAAAGAATGCATTTCTAATAGGAGCTAATAGCATGGAGAAGCTCTTTAATCAGGTCTTTTAATATGTCTTAAATTTATATAAAATACCATGTTTTCAAATCTAATTATAAACACATTTTAAACCCAAGAATAAATCTTTTAAGCAGGTTTTTTCTTTTATAACTGTGATCCATGATTTTTCTCCCCTCTAAAAATTAACATAATAAACAGTCCATTCTGCAGTTTTTAACCGAGGTATTCTGCCAGTCTTATTAGTATGTGATTTAAGTTTTGTTCATGAAACAAAAAACATAAAACAATTTGGACCAATTCCACCTGGGTGGCTCAGTGGGTTAAAGCCTCTGCCTTTGGCTCAGGTCATGATCCTGGGGTCCTGGGATCGAGCCCCACATGGGGCTCTCTGCTCAGTGGGGAGTCTGCTTCCTCCTCTCTCTCTGCCTGCCTCTCTTACTTGTGATCTCTGTCAAATGAATAATTTTTTTTAAATCTTTAAAAAAAAAAAAAAATTGGTCCTCACATCCCAATCATTTTCCAAGCAATCCACTGTAGAACAGGGAATAAAACTTGAATCTCAGGTGAACAAAAAGAACTGTAAGAATTTTACCTGAATTATAAGAATTTTATCTTTTTTTTCACTCCTAGAAAACCCGAATTACTAGTACTTCTTCCATTCTTCATTACCATTTCGATCATAGAGAGATCTCATGCACGCACTCCATTTTTGTATGTTGTAAGTAATATAGTAATATTTTTATACATTGTAAATAATAAAGCTCATAAGCAAACTATGAGGCTTAAGTATATGTGAATATTATTCCCTAAGAAGAGACAATGATTACAAAGTCAAGAGTGTACACTGTCTGATAAGGGATAAAATGTAAAAGCAACTTGTGTTACTCAACAATCACTTAATGAAAGCCTATCTTGTACATAAAGCCCTATGCCAGCTATATGAACGATACAAATATTAATACAAAACACTACAGGCTAAAGTTGAGTGTTCAAAAAATTATATATGAATTAGGAAACTTGAGCATTGAGAGAACAAATAGATCACTTCTAGCTAGGATAAAGCTGGCAGCATTTAATCTTTTTTATGTTTCCAAACCAAGTATTTCAGGAGTCATATAGGGGGGAAAAAAAAGACAAATAGGGAAGCTACTCTTCTGAGCGCTTTAAAAGCTCTGGATCTAAACCTGGGGCCACTTCATAATGGTTGCATAGCAGTAAGATTTCAGTCATGTCAGGTATTGAAATGTTAAATAGCCTTTCTAATGTGTACAGATCAAATAATTTGAGCATATGAAATTCAAGGTTGCTCTTGTCTTTACCTTTATGTCTCCTATTTATTAAAGGAGATAGGCAAACACGTTTAGGATATAGAAAACTGGTTCTTAATATGGTAGAATTCTATGGTATTTAGGTAATTAATTTTTTATATCGTTGAACCAAAAAAAGTGTAGATTCAATGACAAATCCATAGAAGGCAATACCATATATAATTTTTAATAACCATAAAAGCACCATTATATAGGACACTCAAAATAATATTTCACAGAACATTAGAAAGAAGCTGTTGGCCAACAAGAAATAAAGCATACATCCTATATGGTCTTACTTATCGTGGTCTCACACCAAATTAATCTGATTCTAACCTGTTGAAATTTAACTTGAAATCATAAATTCAGAATTGGTATAAGAGGGACATTCCAGAGTTGTGGCAGAACTTTATTGTCTTAATGCTACATAAAACACCAAGACTGGTCATTTTCCAACGGGCATGGCTTTGACATACCCTTGTATGATTTCTGTCTTGGGATGTTTAATTATTTGCACTCCCAAACATTTGGGCAGCCATCTGATCACACACATGTTTATTAATAGGCATAATTTTAAAAACTGCTTAACTCTTCCTCTTAAAAATTCATGTTTTATAAAGTCAGGCTTCTTTTATTTACATGGTTAGCACAACAGCCAAAAGTTAATCAGGTTTACTCTTGTTCAGTAAAGTGGTAGTTAAAACCAAGATGTGACTTTAAATAATGACACTGATTTTCCTCACCTTGTACAGCTGTTAAGGATCTGACAGGGGCTCCTGCGTGGTTCAGACGGTAGGGCACCCAACTCTTGATTTCAGCTCAGGTCATATCTCAGGGTCATGAGATTGAGCCCCACAGTGGGCTCCATGCTGAGCAAGGAGCATGTTAAGACACTCTCTCCCTCTCCCTCTGCCCCTCCCTGGCTCTCTCACTCTCTGTCTCTAAAAAAAAATTTTAAAAGAAGGATCCAATATTTTTAACAATGACACATCACTAGAATAAAGGGATAATTTCCCCAAGTATCTACTTTGAAGGACAATATTCCCTTAGATGTATGCTCTCTGGCATGTGCATTTTAAGGGAAAATCAGTATCATCATGACAGCCACACATCTCACATTTTGGGATACATAGATTATCAAAGTAGCAATGGCACTAACATTTTTCCTGCCTCCCACTTCTCCCCCACCTTTCCAACTTTCCTGATGAAGATGAATTTCCTGGAAAAGTAGATTACTTCAGAGAAAGTGGTACTAAAGCTTCTATATGTCGAACTTAGGTGACTGCGTATGTGCATGGGTACGTTCTCAGGTTTCTGTTTCCAATTTCTGGTCTCCCTAGGGAAAGGGACTTTGTTTAATCAAGTCAGCAGAATTCCCAGCATCAGACCATGCATATAGGATCACTGTAACAAATGCTTGTTGAAGATGAGTATAATGACTTCTGCTCAAAAACTTTCAGGTCCGACTATTTACACTGGAATTAGAGCTCTGAGGAAAACCGAACAAAGAATAAATACCAAAATTTGCAGTTAAAAACTGATTTAGGAAAATTTCGATTGCATGTAAGATAGGCCTCTAATATCCATGGTGACAGCCACCTCTTCTGTTAAAGGAGCCCTCATTTGTGAAGCCCCCAGGAGCCCTCCGGTTGGGAAACTCAGCGTACGGATTCCAGTATCGTGCGCCGTTGGAAGGTGAGGCGTTATTCCTGTCCTGGTTTCTGTTCATTCTGCCAGGCTTTTCTGCATGAAGCACGCTGTGAAAGGTAACATCGTGTTCATACCGCTCCTTCATTCGGTGTATTTTTTCTCTGGGGACTCCATGAATGTTTCTTCTACGTAAGAACAAATGCAAACATTTACTTAAGGCGGCGTATTATCCAAAGGAGTTACTTGTATTTTACATAGAGATGCACTCCCTCCTCTCTGGATTTAACTCTCACAGAAGCCTAAAGTCTCCTTAAGGAGTTATCTTTCAGGCTCCACTGCTGTTTTGCATTCCGCCCTGAGGCTAGCAAAGAGTAAGAGCTTCACCAAGGCTTATTTCTCGGAAATCTCAATTTGGTGCCTCAAGACATAAAAGAACACCGGGAGCCCTTTTTATTATATATTTTTCTGTTAATCATGCATATCTCTATAATCAATTCATGTCAGTCAGTCCTAGACACTTCTAGATGCTAATTAAAATAATCTTACATTCAAGTGGGCATGAGAATCCACTTGGGGATATAGCTGAAATGCAATCACCAAAGATTCTCTGAAGAAGGCCAGGCAGTGAACTAGGATTTCAACAACCCCCTCAAGCAGTCCTGATGGGGGTGGGCCACAGGCCCACTCTGGAAACGCTGCTTGTAACCATAGAATGAACTAGCCTTATTCCTAAAAAGTAAATTCTGATCTCACTGATCACTTTAAATCACTGGCATTATCTAGTAACACAGATAGTGAACATCAGAACTCATGCACTCAGTCACGTTAGTATTACTTGGACACGTATTGCTTTATAAATTAGAAGCAGCATCTAGACCATAAATGAACCACAGACTGTTGAACAACTAAAGATCTTTATTTAGCCTAAACGCAGAAACACCACTGACATGTGCAATCCCATGCAGAGAAAAGTGCTTTCAAACGCTCATTAATGAAGAAGCATTTCAGCAGAAAGTTAAATGTGTCCTTTAAAAGGACTAAGTCCAAGGCATGGTTTAGCATTTAGCATTATATTAGAAAACTGACCCAAAACTAAAGTCTTCACATTAATAATGCCAAAGTTATCAATTTCCAAGAATTACCATTTCTGGCCTGAAAACTACCATGTCCATTTCCAGCCTGAAAAGATTCTTTTGTTCGGTCTGAAATACCTGAAAATAGCAGGATACATAATGAGGAACTAGAAAAACAAAGAAGTACCTTGCTAACTCTTGAACGTTGAATTTCCAGCGAGTGTCAGGTTCTCGGAATATAACTTCATAGTTATTTTCAAGTGCCTGATTTTTCAAAAGTACATAAAACATTGAAGACATGGTATGTATGTTTGGGAATGTTTATGCTGCCATTTCACATTTACTACAAATCCTTTCTACAATTCCTCTGTTTTTACCAGAAATCCAAGGCCTGAGTTTATCTTAACAAGTACAGTTGGTTCATTTCCATACTTAGCCACTCTCAGATTTTATTTTGGTTCCCAGTGATAAATTTTAGTCCATTTTATCTACTATGTAGGAAAAGTATAATGGTTCTTTGTTTTGGACATTTAAAAAAAAATAGATAGCTGAACTCATTATAAATATCCTAGTCATAGGTATGAGAAATGCATTCAGTGGCTTCTCAAAGTCCCTAATATGATTTTCAGAGAGTTTCTTCTGTCAAATGCTCTGTCCCATCCCTCACACCTTGATTAGAAAGTGAGGGTCCCACAGGAACAGAGCTTATGAAAGAAAAGTGATTTTCCCATACTTTTTACAAACTCTTCCCGCCAAAAGGAACTTTACCCTCTATGCAACACAGTTTGGCTCAGTGTACTTGTGCCCCATTTTTCTCGAGTTTAGAAAATGATTACAGTTTCCATATAAACATCCAATTATTCTTTGCTTTCATAAATTGACTACTTTTTTAATCTCAAAATCTGAACTTCATCATTATTGTTTATTGTGTTCTAAAACACAGAATTAAAAGAGCAAAGTAAAAAGATTTCCTCTTCATTCTTGAGATGGACTCCTCTAGTTAGAGAAGGATTCAAATATCATACATGGAAAATATCTAATTTCTGGGTCTAATAGCTGTGGATGGCTGAAAAAGATTGTACATTCCAGATAATACAAAATAAGAAAGGAAAAGGTCCTCTCTCAAGCCACTCTCCACTAACTCTTGGTTTTGAGTCATGCCTTAATTAGACTATTCGTGTTCCTGTTCATTTCTCTACCAAGCGGACTCTTGGTCCACGAACGGAAGTAACCACAAAGCTGATGTTCATTCCTTCCTACATCCACCCAAGGTCCCACAGGTTGGGCCCAAGTTACCCCGATGGACGTACAATTTGAGAAAAGCACACCTGTATAGAAGCTAGTTTGCCCCCAAATTTAAAAGAAGCCACAAATAGATGGGCCACAAGCCCCATTTCAGAGATATTCCCTTTACAGTTAGCCAAGTGGGGACTGTATGTGACAAAATGACACTACTCAGCTGTCTTCTTCCTGCCCTGTGTGTCTCAGGATCTTTTCTCCGGTGTATATACCCCATAGGAAGTGAAACTTATTACCATAAGAGGTGAAATACGTCTGAAAAAAAAATCAGATATATTTCAAAATTAAAAATATGCACAATGTTTTATTCATGTTACTGTTCTTTCCTATTCTGACAATAGAGAGCTGAGTTGTTATCTTTGTATATTTATATTCTAATATCCTTTACAGTGCTAACCCTCAATCTGTTCTTAAACCCCAAAAAATAAACAAACAAATAAAAAGTGGCCCAGACTCTCCCACGGCAACACCACCCAGCACTGAAATCCCTGGCTTGCCAAAGACGGAAAAGTGTCTTATTATCATCCACCACTCGGCTAGCATAGTCCATCCAGTTTCTCTGCAAGTCTCAGAGGGCGCTCCTGTGCACGTATGTCTCCCCTTGGGAAAACAATCAAGACAGAAGAATTCGCAAGAATTGGGACCAAGGAGGATTTAAAAACGTACCCTGAGGTGATATTAGCATCTCAGTGAATTTCAGCCATCGAACAACAGAGAAACACTGAAAGAAAACCTCTTTACCTGCACCCTGAGAGAGCTACGATTAATAAAGATGACATCATGGCAGATCAGAAGAAGAGGAAAGAAAAAATGTTGCAACTTTCTCACAAAATGTCCATAACTGAAAATTCAGAATGATGCTTCTTCCTACCATGACTGCATAGGGCTTCATTTCCCAGGCGTGGAGGTTGGTATTATCAATAATAATGGGGGATATGCCATTCCTCATTGCTTTTCTGGCTGCAACACAACGTTACATAACAGTGAACAACATGCAACAATCAGAAGGGTGAGCGTACTCCATATTTTGTTATTTTCTTATCACAGGTGTCCTCATTACACAACTTTAGTGCCACATATTTCAGAACCCATTACCAATCATTTTCTTTTTCCTGGGATCTAGGGAGTTTATGCTCTGACATTCTGTTTGTGGGCACAGGGGAAAATGGCAGAACTTTTGATTACGCTCCTTCTCGAAAACGTACTCATTCTGCAGCAGCTACAATCTATGTGCACAATAGGATTCCCCGGGGAATTTGGAAAGGAATTTGTCACCTCTTTTCTGGTTCCACTCATGCGCTTCCTCCAGGAAGTCTGGATTGAACTCATAGGCACCGTCTTCCCTGAAGAAATAGTCATCCGTGCTGAAAATCAGGGCCCTGGGAAAGTCGTGTTGCAATTGTCTAGAAAGTGGGGAAATAAGAGATTGCTTTATGATTATGCACAGCCATTATAGATTATTTCCTTCCATCGCCAACATTCAGCAGCTTGTAATTATGAGGCCACCAGGTTGTATGTTGTTGAAACTCAATTTAAGGAGAGAGATGTTTATCATCTCTAGAAGGTACCAGTCCTTCACATGAGGCAGCCCTGCCCTTCCCCCCATCTCTCACCTGTTCCGGATCCCAGCTCCATGGAGTTCTGGTCTCCGTAACGACCCACCTGAGACACTAGTTCTTGCTGATGTATGAGAGGCGGATAAAAGGGCTGCGTGTGTGTACAACCCCTATCCAGGTAACAGTTTACATCTTATCAGTGACCTACACCAAGTGAGAATAAGCACACTGGAAGGCAAGAGGTAGAGCCAACCTTCCCCAGGCCTTCTTAAACTACTCTCTCACACTCTCGAAATATGAAAAAGTCACAGAAAAAAGGAAAAGGAGTGTCCCCTTTAAAACAAAGCAAAACAATAAAAAAGCTATTAAATTCTGCACGAAATCACTTCCAAGAGAAGAGATTTCCACTTAAAATCCTTATTCAGTGGCTCAGTGGGTTAAGCCTCTGCCTTCAGCTCAGGTCATGGTCTCAGGGTCCTGGGATTGAGCCCCACATCGGGCTCTCTGCTCAGGGAGGAGCCTGCTTCCCCCCTCTCTCTCTGCCTGCCTCTCTGCCTACTTGTGATCTCTCTGTGTCAAATAAATAAATAAAATATTTTTAAAAAAATAAAATAAAATCCTTATTCAGACAATTTGGGGAGAAAGTGGATATGACGGTAGGTAGTAACTGGGTAAATCTCTGAGCCTCCTCTCATCTTTAGAAATGAAGGATGATTCCCCCATCGTGCTAGATTACCACACTGATCTGATAACATGGGGAGTCACGGGTGCAGTGCCCAACGCAACGAGTGTCCGTTTCTTTCCTTCATCCCTGTGGCACGAATAAAAATTCAGCAAGCAAACAGAACATAGGACCAAACGGATATGCTCAGAACAGGGTTGCCTGGGTGGCTCAGTCGGTTAAGTGGCTGCCTTCAGTTCAAATCATGATCCCAGGGTCCTGGGATGGAGCCCCACGTCAGGCTCTCTGCTCAGCAGTGAGTCTGCTTCTCCCTCCCTCTCTCTCTCTCTGCCTGCTGCTCTGCCTACTTGTGTTCTACTTCATCTCTCTGTCAAATAAATAAATAAATATCTTTTAAAAGGGGGGGGGGTAAAAAGGAAAAAGGTTGGAGAATGACAAGGACAGGAAATGCAAGGAGAAAGCAGAGCTGCTCAACTGTTGTATGTTTGTCCTTCTCGGCAAGGAAAAGCTCTCCTTGACAGGACGGAGCAGGGTATGTGTAAGGCACCAGAGCCCTGATCTTACACAAGCTCCTAAATTGCTCTGAAAGGCTTGGGCTGAATTCTAGACTCTTCTCTACCCAGTCAGGTGACCTCTCTCTCTCTCTCTCTCTCTCTCTCTCTAAACGTTTCCCTGACCAAAAACCACAGATAAGCATCACCACCTATGAAATGGAGCTTCGAATGAGGCTCAGATGAGAGCAGATCTGAGGAAACGTTTTGCAAATGGTGAGGCACCTTGACAGTGTGAAGTACTATTATTGTATTAATAGTTATAACGCACATGATCAAATTTACCAACCCCAGGGGTAGATGTGCCACGTAGTAAAATACGCTGGAGTGTGTATGTAATCTTGAAATTACTGCAAGGGAATTCGTATGGCAGTGAGTGAAAGAGATGAAAAACCAAAATAAAGCAAACACCTTAGTGTTCAAGAATGAGTGAACACATTCCAGAAACAGAAAACAAACAAACATCTCTGTCAAGATTCTTCAGCAGGCTTGATAGCATTTAAAAAGAACACAACATAGCTGATGGGCTGAGTTGGTAAATGGAAACATTCAATGTGCATAATCTCACATCTTGATTTAAGCAGGAATCTGATGGTGTCTCTCATGGCCTTGTGGAAAAATGTAGACGAGAAGATGATGTATTTTAATACCCAGAGAATATTAGATAATTATCCAACTCATTAAACATTTACTGAGCATTTAATATATGCCAAGTACAGGGTGAAGCGTTAAGGTACCAAAAGAAAACAAAGTAGCTGCTTCCAAGGAATTCACAGCCTAGCCAAGGAGCCAGACACAGACGACCTCACAGTCAGTGTAAAGAGCTGTACAGGTGAAGGACAAGAGAACTTGAGGTCGGGAACAAGTTCAGACAGCGAAACATTAAAAGGCGATCCCAGTGGACTTGGATCCCGAGACACGAGAAAATTCCGCCGCTGGAGAAGGGGGTTAAAAGCACGAGCACTAAAGCTCAGGCTTCAGGGCCTGTTACGAGAACGGAGCTCTAGGGGGAAAATAAGAGCAAGTTAAAAGGGGCAAATCATATTTGCAGTGGTTTTCCATTCGGAGTGCTACACAATGTAAGAGAGATTTGCTAAGCTGGACTAGGTCCAGAAAAGAGTGACCAGGTCAGTGTAAGGTCTGAAAACCATGGAAACCACGTCAGATGAGAAGAGATCACCAAAGGGATGTGGGGTGCTTAAAGTGGGAACAGATGATCAGAGTGATTCCTGAGGCTCCCAGCTCAAGAAGCCTGTTGGTGGAAAGGTAATGACCTGAGTTCACGGATCAGCAGTTTGGGTTGGGCTCATGGGGGCAGTTCTGCCTGTCTTGCCTGGGACCATTCGCACCGCCACAGTCATCTGACAATGGACATGCTGAGTGTTCTCCGTGGGCCTCATCCGTTCACGTGTGGCTGCCTTTTCGGCCCGCGTGGTTTCCCGACCTCAGGGAGGTTAACCCAGGCCTCTTCACACACCCCAGCCATTCAGAAGGCAGGAGTGCAAGCGGTTAGGCTTCGGCCAGGTTCTGCTGCTCAAAGCAAGGTGCTGTGGGGGCCCCCAGTGAAAGGGGAGGGAACTAAACCACGGGAGAGGTGGCAAGGAAAGGCGGCCACTTAAACTCTACCACGGATGCAGAGAGTGACACAGAAGAAAAGTATGAAGGAGGTTTGATGAAACCAGTTTTCCTCATTTGCATGTACGTCTTTTATTTGACTTTAAAGATACTCAAGCCGAAAAGCCCAAATCGTAAGTCCAAATTTTAACCTCCAAGGCAAACAGTGATTATGACAACACCTCAGAAAAAAATCTAAAGGCAGCACTGAGAGGAGCCTGGGTGGCGCCGAGGATTAAGCAACTGACTCCTGATTTCAGCTCAGGTCATGCAGTCAGGGTCATGAGACTGGGCTCAGTGCTGAGCTGGCTTGAGTCTCTCTCCCTCTGCCCCCTGTCTGCACACGCACACACACACACACACACTCTCTCTCTCTCTCTCTCTCTCAAATAAATGAATCTTTAAAAGCAGCCCTAAGTCTGTGTGTATTTTATATTTGTGGCTATTTTACAGTTCCTAAATTATTTTCATTAATGTTATCTAGTCTAAATAATGAAAGCTGCATTCAGAAGTTCAATAATAGTGCATAACTTATTTTCCTTATCTTTGTATATATACTAAGTTAAGCAAAGTTATGGATATTGGTTCTAAGAGTTTTGTTTTGTTTTTCTTTTTCTTTTTGGTTCCAGATTTGCTACCCTTCTAAATATGGTTTCGTTTGTTTTCTTATTAAGTATGCCATTCATAGGTTTCATTGTGGTCTTTTACCATTTTCAGAGTTGAATTTTTCTTCTCATGTACATAGCCTTGTCTACTTTTGTTTTCCTCTTTAAGGCTTATATTATCTATTGGAAGTTAAGATTCTCACTCTCTAATGTTTCCTTTAAAAAAGCTTTAAGACATGAATGTCCAATTCACATTTTATTTCAATCCTATTTCAGAAAACAAAACACACACACACACACACACACACACACACACACACACACACACACAAGACAAAGAAACTACTGCCCTCGATTGTAAAATTCTGCCTTAGAGTAAAAGTTACATTGTTCAGGGCCCCCATGGGGCTAGACCACTGCTCATCATTTCCTGAGAGATATCTGACTATAGCCTCACTGGTCCTCCTAACCAACAGGCAGGCAAAAATATGAGCGTTTTCACCTTTACAGCTCTCACAGAAGCTGGGGAGGCTGGGGTGGCGGGGAGTGGGAGATTTGTCTGTGTGACCTTCCTGAATGATCATTCCTTTCAAAAACCTTGTTTTTACCTTCAGCTGAATGTCAAATTAGCACTGGCAGTAGCATCTGGAATCTGAAGGACAATAAAAGCTCTCCTAGCTACATAAAGAACTGATGCAACAGACAAATCTTGAATTTCTCAAACAGAGGTGGAAGCAATAAATACCATTCCATTGGCTTCAGAAGTGATGAGGACAGTGCATCAGCTCTAGCTTTCTTTATGGTCAGGAGCCTCATGCATCAGGTAAATGAAGAGGTTGAAAATAAGAGAAAAGGAAAAAATGGAAAGACAATTACTTCCATGTAACTTTTACTTCCACAGATCCCTCCGCAACTCACTGAAAATCACTGCTATGAGAGAAATTCGGGTACTAATCTTTATTTCAAACTTATCACTCTTCTGTGTAATTTTTTATTTAATAACAAATACCCATGAGAACATATTTAGCTATCTATTGGTCACTCACTCGCTGACAAAGTCCAATGTTACTATGTAATTGTGAGTTGCACCCTCAACTTTTCTATGGAAGTCTCCCAACATGCAGAAGTAGACAGGGTAATACAATCAGACAGACTAATACAATCACTTCCTGCGGACCCATGACCCAGGTTCAACAATCATCACAGCAAGGGCACTTGGGTGGCTCAGTCAGTAAAGCATCTGACTCTTGATTTTGGCTCAGGTCATGACCTCAGGGTTGTGAGATCGAGATCCGCAGACAGCTCTGAGCTAGGGGTGGAGCCTACTTAAGATTCTCTCTCTCCCTCTGCTTCTGCCCCGCCCTCCTGCACATGTGCTCACTCTCTCAAAAAAAC